CAAAAATGTACCAAACATCAGAATCACTCAGATATAATGAACACAAACAATTTAAAACACAAAAAAGTGACCTTTCAGTTATCCACCACCGTAAAAGTAATAGGAGAATACAAGAAAGATACAGCTCAAGAAAACTATAAGGGACCTTGAGCTTGTGATGGTGGAGGAAGCATAGGCCAGCCAAGAAGTTGAGGTGAGCCAGGAGGTGTTGAGTGCTGACTAGGAGAGAATACACTTAGTTCCACAAAAGCCACCCCTGAGGTAGTATCCTTGTCCGTTGTTCGAAAGGAGATGGATCCTCTCTTTGTTGAGGCACCTGAATTTCTCCCAGGACTGCTCACCATACTTCCTCCGAGGGTGCTTTGGTTAGCAATTAGAGAAACCATATCATTTTGTTCATCACTTAACCTTCTCCTAGACTCTATATCCCTCTCTGAGCTCTTCTTCAGTGCTAAACAATCCCGCATGGGCATGACAATGAGCATGAACATGCCCATCCCAATACAAAAAAAGAAGGAAACAAAACCCACAAATGCAAGAGCTTGAAAAGGTAAATGTTCTGGCAGTGTTCTAACAGTTAAACCAAGCAATAGAACCCTTATAGGAAAGAAAGCTGAAACTGACAACACTAGCATGTATACTCTCTTCTGCAGACTCCTATTGATAACGAAATGCAGGATTCTTCCACCAAGCCAGAAACAAATATGAAGTTAGCATGATGGCAAAAAGACCATGGCAGAAAGTACTCAACAAAGGGTAAGTGCACAGGGCAACATCATCTTCAGATTGTTTGACTGGACTAGTGAAATACTCTGGCAAGTGTTTCAAGCTATTCTTCTCAAGTTGTGGTCCAGCCAAAATAAGCACGAGCTGTAGAGCAAAAACTGGGAGGCAAAAAAGAAGTATGTATCCGACTGTTTTGCCATTCCATTTCTGGCTTAAAGTTCCTGACTTTTGTAAGGATGCCCGAAGGAGAAACACAACGGTTAGATACAGGCAAGGTTCTGCAAAACCTAAGCTCGAAACAATATAACACTTGCAAACAGTTTCCTGCCATCTGAAACCAAAAGCACTCAACAATCTTCCTTCCCCTCTAATCAAGTTAAGCCGAACAACCTCTCCAAATCCCCACCAAATTGCAAACAATATAAATACAATCCGGATAATCCAAGGACCATGAAAATAGCCAAGCTGATTGTAACCTTGCCCACGAATCTTCGTATGAAAGTATATCAAATACAATATACAAAACAACCCAGCAAGTACCAAAATCGAAACAAGTATAATAGTAATTACACCTAGTGCATCAACAGCAAATCTCGAATAGGGCATTACCCAAACCACAAATTGCACGCATGCTCTCTGACAGCATGGAGACCTGAAACCCCTCAACCACCTAAAACCCTCCCTCCTCCCTCCTCCTCGAAAATCACAGATTTAACTCCTCTCAATCTCTCCACCTCAAAACTACCATATATCAACAGTCTCGAGATCTAATCACCAACCACCCCGCACACCAAAAAACACCAATTCCACCCTCCTTTTAACAACTTCTTCAACAATGAACTCTATCTATGTTCAACGTGATTCCCCTAAAAACAAAACCGTACACAAAATGATCACAATCTAGACATGTATAAAGTAGAAACAGTGCATTTATCTCTAAACAAACGCTAAAGCAAAAAACAGTACAGATATACATGCAAAAATTAGATCAAACGAAAGCTTACCAAACGGAGAAATCTTGATCTGAGAAACACAAATCCTGAATCTTCTTGTATCCAGTGAGAATCGGAAGAAGAAGAAGAAGAAAAAAACCTAAGCACAGAAGAAGAAGAGAGAGAGAGAGAGGATTGATGGAAGAGAAGAGTGAGGGAAAATGGGGGGGAGAAGATAGAGGGAGTGGGGTGGGGGTGGTAAGGGGGAGCTTTGTTGGAAACAGGCTGTCGCCAGCGAATAAACCAAACCCAGAAATGGAAATTATAATTGAGATTTATAATGTTTAAATGTGAAATATTTACACAAAAATATAATTAAAATTATATATAAAAAAATAACAGGCTGTATACAGCTGGATGTTCCGAACCTATAGCTTTTGGAATACTTCCTAGTCTAGTTGGCCAAACCTGACCCTGGCGGCGTTTACGGTGAATGTTCTCTCTTCTTTTTTTTCTGGTTAAAAATAATAATAGAATAATCAAATAGTTTGTTTGACCGTTAATTTTATTTAAATATTTGCTTAATTATAAAATTTAATTTGTTCGTAATAGATAAATATTTTTTTAAAAACGGTGTTGGTTATAATTTTTAGAATAGATAAAAAAAAAATTAAGATGGTTTTGGGCTTATTTTTTTATTTTTTAAATAAAATTTAAATTTAAACTTTGAAAAAATATTTGACAATAGATTAAAAATAAAACAATAAAAAAGTCAAAATTTGAAGAATATCAAAAAGTTATTTACTCTAAAAGATTCAAAAACTATTTCGATTTATATTTATGGTCAAACACAGCTTTAAATTTTAAAAATTATTAATTTTAAAAATAAAAATTATTTTTTTCTAATATTTCCTAAATTCAACTTCAAAAACCTACGAGGATGAAATGTATTTGTACGAATGTTTTTGGTTGTAGAGTTTGAAAAATATTTACTATAAAACAAGTCTACTCATAAAATAGTTTAAAGTATTTATTTATTTTTAATGTTAATGTATAACATGAAAAAAAATGACTTAATTAAATTGTAGTGGTGATGTAAAGTGTAAACAATAGTTGCACACGAGTTAATCTCATACACTTGTAGCAAAAGGATTTATTTTATTTTATTTTTTGTTCAATTTGAGTAGTAAAAACGACATTAATTAATGTGTTGATTAAACATTAAAAAAAATGATAGAATTAGTTGAGATACTTTAATATTGTAGATTGCGAATATTTCCCTTGATTTGAAAGTATGCTCCAATAGTGGCCAATCATTGACATTTTATTTTATATATTTTTTTAATATTTGATAAAATTTTAGAAGTTAATCGTGCGCATATTATGATTCAAATTTTGATATGCAATGTATTCATCCTTAATTCTTTTACTTGAATAACAAGCTATCAGTTTATTTTCTAATCGAATAAGAGTTCTCTTGTTACAATGATGCACAAATCATGTCGTGTGTCCTATCAATTGAAAAACGTTTTTTTCTATTATAACGGACATAAATCATGACGTGCGTTCAACTTGCATGTAACACGTGATCAAATCATAAACGAAATATGTTACTTTCTCACTTAGAAAGAACAAGTGATAATTGGAGATTAGTAATTTTTCTACGACAATTGTATCGTATCAAACACATGTTAGGAAAGCAAATATATTGAAATTGATATAATATTTTTTTTAGAAAACAACTTATTAATCAAAATAAATTCTTAAACTATGCTCTATTTTGTAAACACGTAATTCCCCAAGTAACTTTAAATTTGTTTCAATTGTTTCAAAGGAAAACAATAGGGAAAAATAGAAAATATTGTAAAATACAATAAGAATATTTTTTTGGAATAATTATGAGTCTTCCAAACACTACAAAAGGAGTGACGCTATTTGACTTTATTTGGAGATTTTTAGATTGAAAAATAAATCGATGGTCTACTTATATGAACTTAGATTAAAAAAAAATTATGAGCTAATTTTTGAAATTTAGTAAGTCTAGATGTCGCATTTTCATATGGTATCAGAACCAACTCCATTCTTATTGAGCTCTTAGTTCACACTACAGTTGAACGGCTTGAGCATGAAGGGAGTATTAAAGTGAATAAAAATCTCACATTGATTGAAGATCTACTTATATAAACTTGACAATCCTCTCCTCATGATTTAACTTTTACAGTTGAGTTAGATCCACGTATGATAAAGTATAATTCTTTCTTTTTATGCAACAATATTTGGCAAAAAAAAAAAACATATCTGCTAATCCAATTTAGATTAATTTCTGATTCTTTTAATTTTCCTTTGACACTATCAACAAAGATAATCTAGCTTATGAAGGGAACAAAGATTTGGTTAGATAGAAACCAAAGACAGAATAAATCCAATATTAAAATTTGGTGAGTTAAAATTATTTACCTTCCAAGACTAAATTCATTGCATTCTTGATATTATATATGGATCTAGAATTTCATGTATTTTGATATTATATATCTTATCCTTTGTGTGAAAAATGATGTGTTAAGCTTTGACATATTGAACTTCAAAATTTGAATAGTAAGATTCTGTATTAAGCCATGAAAGTTTCTCTGTGGACATGTGATACCACCATAGAGACCTACAACACTTGTATATGTCCCAGTTTTGGCATTTTATATTTGCTTTTAGTAGCTCCACTAATTTCTGTTGATATATTCCATCTCCCACCAATAACAATATCTAACTCTCACCAGCAACAAGTACCAAATAATTATGTCCACCAAGGCTAAGACAAATGAGAAGAATGACCTCGTGTATTTTGCCTCAACAGAATTTGAATCTGAGACCTCATGATTCTCAACCACTTCATTGATGACTAGTTCACACCCTTAGATTAGATGGTAGAACTGGTGTTAATTTACCAAATGTAAACCTCTAAAATAGAAACAAATTTGGAACTCTCAAACCTCCATTGTGTGTTACAACATTATGAGTTGCTAGTCAATTTCTTTTAAAAGGAATAGAAATAGTGTTGGATAAGTAACAGCAAGAGTCCATTTAAATATCAATTGGCCATCCTACAGAAACTCTATTTTTGTGGAGCAAATTCTTGGCAAATGTTCATCCAACTGGCCATTAACACAAGTTTAGAGTTTAGTATGCACTCCAGCCTCCAAGTTCCAAAAATAAAAAAGAAACTTGACTTACAGCTTGTATTAGAACAATTCACATTTGCTTTGTCTTAAAATATCCAGACAAGATCTATGTCTATTCTCATGTAGGACCTCTTTCCACAACCTCAAAACAGGTAACAGAAAGGTAAGATAAAACTCAAAAAGAATCAAGCTACTGCACTTATATTATTTTTCGAAATTGTGTGTTAGAATCAACTTGCACGCACCTCAACTAATACTAAAAGGGTAGCTACCTCTCACCAGGAACCTTCTATCAGTTCACACAATCATTTCAGTATTTTGATGTTTGACATTTTCCAGGCACCAAAATTGAATGGTCTGATAAGTTGCTACAATTCTTGTGTCTATACATCTTATTTCACTTTAAAACAACAGAATAGACGAACGACCATTCTATTCACCAATCTTTCTCTGATAAATCCCAGCTATTAAGCTTTCCTTCGCGTGTTGAAATATTGCACAACAGTGTCTTGTCAACATAACTATTATCAGATTCAAGATTGCATTTCAGCAGTTTCTTTCCTGTAAGCCTGGAGCCTCTCTTTCAACTTCTTGCTCTGTTCAAAATTTGCTTTCCTCTTTATAGCTTTCTGCAGAAGGACATCATATTCTTTTAATGGCTCATACATGAGGAACACCGAAGACATGTTTCCAAAGACATAATTTCTGAATAGCTAAAGTAAGAAACCTTACTTCCTGCCTAAAGCACCGGTCAAGCTTTACTTTCAGTTCTGTGCATTGCCCAAGGAATTTCCCTAGTGGGTGGTCTGTATGACACTTCTGAAACTCTTCAATTATCTGCACCACAGCGACATAGCCATCTTTAGTGTATTTGAGATGTTTTGGCAATTATTTTTTGAAATTAACAAATAAAAAGAACAAATTAATCTACAACCATGATATACACACAACGAGACTACATGTCAACTAAGTTGCACCGACTCTTCACTTTTGATGTCACACCCGTGTCGTATTCTCCAAAAATACAATACTTTTGGCCAATTCGACACGCACCCGTTGACATTTTGAAGAGTCCGAGAAACATAGCATGTCAATGCAAATAAACACATGCAAAGACAGCTTCAAAAGCACAAGATAAATAATCTAATTTAGCAATGTGAGAAACTTACATCAGCACATAAAGGGTGTCTATGTAGAGTCAAAGGTGGATGCATCTTCTTCCCTTTGAGTTCAAAACCTATAGAAGTAGGAAAATTTTTCAAATAAATATATCCCCTTCTCCGTGAAGTAAGAGAAACATAAAGAAAAAGAAACAATAGAAAAGTGTGAAGCATCAGGAAACAGTTTGCATTTTGAAAAAAAGAGAAGAAAGCAAAAAAGCCAGTTGTTGTTACAAATAGAAGTCAGGTACAGGATTCTTGAGAAATAAGGGATAATGGTGAAAATTCCCAGGCATTAAGTGAATTACAGTGGGGGATAGTTACACCTACAACAACAAAGGTAAAAGTATCCTTCTTCAAGTTAATTACATATCCTTTCAACCAAATATGAAGTTAGCATGATGGCAAAAAGACCATGGCAGAAAGTACTCAACAAAGGGTAAGTGCACAGGGCAACATCATCTTCAGATTGTTTGACTGGACTAGTGAAATACTCTGGCAAGTGTTTCAAGCCATTCTTCTCAAGTTGTGGTCCAGCCAAAATAAGCACGAGCTGTAGAGCAAAAACTGGGAGGCAAAAAAGAAGTATGTATCCGACTGTTTTGCCATTCCATTTCTGGCTTAAAGTTCCTGACTTTTGTAAGGATGCCCGAAGGAGAAACACAACGGTTAGGTACAGGCAAGGTTCTGCAAAACCTAAGCTCGAAACAATATAACACTTGCAAACAGTTTCCTGCCATCTGAAACCAAAAGCACTCAACAATCTTCCTTCCCCTCTAATCAAGTTAAGCCGAACAACCTCTCCAAATCCCCACCAAATTGCAAACAATATAAATACAATCCGGATAATCCAAGGACCATGAAAATAGCCAAGCTGATTGTAACCTTGCCCACGAATCTTCGTATGAAAGTATATCAAGTACAATATACAAAACAACCCAGCAAGTACCAAAATCAAAACAAGTATAATAGTAATTACACCTAGTGCATCAACAGCAAATCTCGAATAGGGCATTACCCAAACCACAAATTGCACGCATGCTCTTTGACAGCATGGAGACCTGAAACCCCTCAACCACCTAAAACCCTCCCTCCTCCCTCCTCCTCGAAAATCACAGATTTAACTCCTCTCAATCTCTCCACCTCAAAACTACCATATATCAACAGTCTCGAGATCTAATCACCAACCAACCCGCACACCAAAAAACACCAATTCCACCCTCCTTTTTACAAACTTCTTCAAACAATGAACTCTATCTATGTTCAACGTGATTCCCCTAAAAACAAAACCGTACACAAAATGATCACAATCTAGACATGTATAAAGTAGAAACAGTGCATTTATCTCTAAACAAACGCTAAAGCAAAAAACAGTACAGATATACATGCAAAAATTAGATCAAACGAAAGCTTACCAAACGGAGAAATCTTGATCTGAGAAACACAAATCCTGAATCTTCTTGTATCTAGTGAGAATCGGAAGAAGAAGAAGAAAAAAAAACCCTAAGCACAGAAGAAGAAGAGAGAGAGGATTGATGGAAGAGAAGAGTGAGGGAAAATGGGGGGGAGAAGATAGAGGGAGTGGGGTGGGGGTGGTAAGGGGGAGCTTTGTTGGAAACAGGCTGTCGCCAGTGAAAGTTGTATCCCATTAATCATGACAGATAGCCATAATTTCACTCAACACATCCATTGATTGAAATGTTTTTCCCTACTATTAATTCCTTGAATAAAATATGTATAATTTGTCAGAATTTATTTGACTAAGGAAGATCATAAACTACCTCATCAGAAATTAGCATCATCATAGTGAGATGAGCTAATGCTTTTGGGTATTGCCAAGGTTGGTCCAACTGTAGCGACATTAATCCAGAAGCTTTCTAAGTATTGCCAGGGTTGATCAACCGCCAAACATTTTTGACACTTATTGCTTTCATAGCCAAATGAAAGAAAAAAACTCCCTTGACAATAGACTCAATTATTATTACCAGTAAATTCAACTGTAGCGAAAAGGCCTAGAATTTCAGATTCCATTAATGAAGAATTGGTGCTTATGACAGTGATCAAGTTTTAGAGACTAAAATTTCATATACTGAACTAAGATAAATCTCTAATACATATGCAAAGAAGGCAAAGTAAGAATTACCTGATCGGAGGTAGCGGTGGAACGCCGGCGCCGGAGAGAACGGGGCTGCAGATAAAATTAGGGATTCGATTCTTGACCTTTACCTTTAAATAGTATTTGGGGATATTTGATTTCTTTTTTTTATATATATGTGGAATGTTTTAATCCTCTACTTTATTTTCCCTAAAATTTATGTAGTATACTTTATAATTGAAGATTGATTAATTCCGCATGAATACTTTTTGTCAATTACTCCATAAATCTCTGTTTATTTATTCATTTTCTCTTTTATAAGGTTCTAATTTTGTTGAAATTTTGTAATATTTATATTTTCTATCTATCTATTTCCTAATTATTTGTCTATTTTAATTTTAAAAAATTATATATTAAACTCTTAATTAATTACTTTGAAAAAAAAAAAATTTTGAAAATCTTAAATTCTTAATTAATTAAATTTATAATTAATAGGGATAAAAAAAGATCTAGTAATACTGCTGAGAACATGAAAAATTGGTTTTCCTTTTTCCCCTTGTTATTGAAAGAGATTTCTTTCAATTTCAATGCAAAAACAACTACTCCATCTAAAGTAAACAAAAAGATATTGCCTTTTTCATGTTTTTTCTCACAGATTTAGTATAACCATAATCTGCAAATATGTCATATAAAGGGTATCAAGCCAGCTCCCAACTCTTTACACACTAGCTAGACAAGTTTCCCCACTTTCATCTCTTTTGTCCCTATTTTCTACAAGATCAAACTATTTGTCTATAATCAGAGATTTCTCTGATTTGAGGATGACTCTCTAATACCTAGTGAACTAATTGGTTGTTCTCTTATCCTCGATAAAAGGATTGAAACGTTCTCTGTTGCAATGTCAAGACGTTCCCTTGACTTTGCTGATTCTGTTACTAGAGTAGAAACCATACTCTGCAATAACTGAACCCTCTCAGTGTGATCACTTTGAGTATTCTGAAGAGCTTTTGTTGCTGGTGTACTGATTCGTCGCCACCGGTGTGGCAGATATCTATCTGGTATTTGGAAGCAATTTCCTGTTGAAAGAACACGGAGAGCATGGCGACAAAGAATTCCAGAGAACTCAAATTGATGGCAGCTGCAGCTTACGATGCCCTCTCTTGGAACCCAGTAAACTTTCCGTCCGCCCTCAAGTTTTGTATGATGCCGGACAAGGAAACCATCTTCCATCTGGAATGATGCATAATGGGCAGCCAAAACAAGTTGTTCTTGAAGCTTAGTGAATGCAAATGGTGTCAAAACTGTAGCAGCATGCGCTTCCATGGGAGCACCTGTTTTAAGGCATATATTTTGTAGATTTTGCTGCATAGTCTGCTGCTCTCCTGTTTGATCCTTGAAATCAACTGTAACAGCCACCTGATAAGCAACACTACGTAATTCAGAATGGAGATCACTTTTACTTAGTAAAAACATATGATGAACCACCTTGAGAGGTTGCAGTATACATGCTAACTTTTCAACTATAGGCCCGTCTGTAACATTTCAGTAATAACCTCATGTTTCCTATACACCTCCATCAAGTAAAGTGTGAAATGTGAATAAAACTAACCTAAAATAACTCAAGGGGCAAGGGGAGGAGTGGGAAGGAACAAGCAGGATAGTAGTAACGGCATTCATGACAATCGTCATGACTGACAATTTTCTTCCTGATACTTGAGAGTAAGGATTATCAGGAAGCAAGCAGTTTTCAAATATCCAGCCAATTTTAACATTATGAGTAACTTTGTTAACGTTGTAGCCGATATCAAGCTTCACCTGGCATATCTAGTCCCTAACCTTCATCTGGCTCTGAAGTGGTCAAAAGAATTTATTTGGTTGGCACTTTAAGAACATTCTACCACAACCATTAAAAATAAACAGGAGCACAATTAAGGTCTAGATAACATACTTGTTCCACAAAATGTGCTAGCCGGCTTTGTGCACTCAGAAACCGTTGGATAAAAGCATTTATTGACTTTGAGTGGCCTGTTGTGGTCATACCGGCAAAAAAGTGGCTCCTAAGGTATGGCAGTGCCCACAGTGATCTCAAGGCAAATAGACTGGCAATATGCCTGTTTGTATGCAGTCCATATGAGTTCACCATGTCTCTCCACCCCAACTCAAAGTCCTCCACAGATTCCAAATTATATAGTCGGTTAAATTCAGCCTTCCACTCGTTGTAGCGCTCTCCTAAAACAGCATTAAACCATGATGGGTACTTTGCTACAACAAGCCAGATGCAAAGGGCGTGCTTAGTCGTGGGCATCTCCAAGTTAATCGCCTCTTTGAGACACATGTTTTGATCAGTTAGTACTGTTTGTGGAGCCTTCCCATTCATGAACGCCAAGAACACCTTACACATTAGAAAACATACAAAGTATTAACAGAGATTCTCAAAAACTGTTAATATACTCATTTGTTGACACCATGGCATATTTATCTTGCATATTCTCCTCTTTTTCTCAAATTTTCTTTTCTCCTTCAATTGGAGCAGGAGCGGATAGTAAGCTGAGAGGCTTTAAAATATTCCTATATCCAAATGTTAGTACCACAAAAGCTAAACAGTATTAACTGCGATAAGTCATATCAATATTATCCGATCTGCCAAAAAAAAAACTGTTACAGCAAGCATTATCCTAATAGAAACTATTTATTAAAACCATTAATGATTCTTGCCCTTTCAAGACATATTTCCATTATTGCAAGCCCATATATGTTCAATTTATTTTTCAAGGAGATACACTTGCATAGTCTAATCTTTATAATACCAACAATGTTACTCTACGTTCTTAAATATACTTGTCATCCTTACTAAAAATAGATGATCCACAATAGTTTCATTTTTGAAAACAAACACATAATTAGTTATTTGTATGGTGCAAAAGAAAGAAGTATTCAATAGACAGGATAAGTAAATAAGGATAATCTAGTCAAATTACCCTCTATTTAATGTTTATTTAAGGGGTGTGCAGAAAAAACATGACAAGTATTTATGAATGAAGGGAGTATATGAGAGTGAATGTTGGGTCGGTAACGTCGAACATATTCACAAGATGAGTGTAGCTGAGGTGTGAATGCTAAGTTGAATGTGTACTCATACAAGATAAGAAATAGCCACATTCGACAAAAGGTACGAGCAGCACACATCAAAGATAACTTCTTAGGTGCAAAACTATGGTGGAGTGAAGGTGTTAAAGAGGGTACTAGGTAGACCTAAAATCACATGAAGAAACTGTCATGAAAGACCTACAAACTCTTAGAATCCACACAAGATAGAGCACAAGAGAGAAAGAGATCTATATAGGTGACATTTATTAGTTCCTACCTATTCATATGCCACTAGGGAATATAGAAAAATGCCTATTATCCACCAGTTCTATACCGTGTGATACTGACCCTTGGGTTTCTAGGTTATGAACAAAATATAGAGAAAAAGGGGTCTAAGATGAGCTTAAATGGAGTGGCAGGTTCAATGAGGATTCATATAGTCAATCCCAACTTGCTTGTCACTGAAGCGTAACTGTTGCAGTCGTAGTATTTATAGAGTATGATCTTGCAAATAGTCACTGTTACTTACCTAGAAGCATGGAAAATCTGACCAGACATGTTATGAAACATAACAAGAATTTGAATAGACAGTTAGTATAGATATCCAAATGTCATATGCATAAAATATTTCAACCATATTCTGTGTTTATTTTCAATCATTTTTTTCTTTTTCCAGTACTGGAGAGGGTGGGGAGTTGCGGTTTTGAAAGAAAGGTAGGGATATGAGTAAAAGTGAAGGCCTCAAAGTAGGCCAATGGTTCAGAAATCAGCAGCATGAAATTGTACATTCCTGCTTTTACCTTCAAAGCCCAAGAGTAGGATCTCAAACTTTCCTCTCGAAGAAGAACACAACCGAAGAAGCATGGCATACCATAGTTGTTCACTCCAACCCATATCCCAAGAGGCATGTCAAAAGCAGTCAACCGATGAGTTGTATCAAAGACCACAGCATCACCAAAAATGTCATATGACTGGATGGATGAAGCATATGACCATGCAATATTTTCCAATCTGTTGTTGGAATCTAGTGAAAAATCATACTTGAAATTGGGATCCTTTTCCTTAATGTTTCTACACATTCTCAACAAGTCTATGCTTTCATCCTCAGGATCCACCTTCCTGAATGACTGCAGCAAATTTCTGACATCCTTCTCAGTGAATGGCAAATAGCCTGGTTCCACACCCTTCTCTAGCTCCATAAGCCTCATCATTTGCTGCACCGAAATTCCTGTTTTAGCAAACATTAGAATCCGGTTCCTGTCTGCATCTGATATGCTGCGATATGCAGGAAGAAAGCGTACTTGATTTGGCTCTAGAAGTTCATGATTATGGTGGTTCATGAAACCAGTCACTCTCCATTCAGGCACTCCTAAGTCGGTTGTCTTGCTTATTCGCATATATGCTTGGCATCCACAACGGGAGGACTTTCTGTTCCTCTGAGGCTTACTATCGTTAGCAGCTTTGACAGGAGTGTTGCCTGCACGATGGCAAACAAAATAGCGTCTTGTAAGTCCTTTGCCGACACCAGCTTTCCCTTCTGTGCGGTGACGCCTGATTGAAAAGCCACAGCCTTTCGCAAATTCAGCATAGAATTCATAAGCAGCATCATGATTGGGAAATCTTTGTCCTATATATGGAACTGCATCATTAGTTGTCTCCAGAGACAGCCTTGTTTGATCGGGTGATTCCTCAGTGCTGCTTGTATCATCCAAAGATAGAGATCTCTGATCCGAGGGATCACCATAAAGCCCCATCATGTGCCCAGCCTCTTCAGACATTATAAACTTGTCAAGATACTGCTCTATACAAACCTATAACCATGTCTAATTTTTTAAGTCACACAGATAATGTAAGAGTTCAACAAAATGGTTGTGTTTAATATGTTACAATATATATACAGAAATAAATTATGTTACTGGTAATACAGATACATAAGACATAGTTT